TTGTTGTTGTTGTTGTTGTTGTTGTTGTTGTCGTCGTTGTTGTTGATTTACAATGAACATTTGCAAAATATCTCATATTAAGTCAGATCAAATCAATCTTTATTTAAGCACGAAATGGTATGATATATACACCATGGCTTCCTAAGAGTCGTTCTACTTTACACTAGAACACATTAACTGCAGAACCACTAAACCAATAAAATGAAATGCAATGAAATCTTATATATCTTATCAAGGTTTCTATAATTTATGTGTTTAAAGTAATCTTTCCCGGGCAGTACAGGTTTAAAATCGTTCAAATTGGGCTGCTGTCTGATCTGATGAAGGGGATCTTGTTCCACAGAACAGATACCATTTTGTAGAAATATAACAATTTGACTCATAGCTTCTAACACTGTATGTAAACTTGAAATACTGGTAAATATCAGTCTCAAATACCATAGGGAAAGATTACTATGGATTTTGTACATACAGTAATCACAGCTAACTATTGCAGTCCTTTGTTTTTGTTAACGTTTCCCAACCAAGTTCATCCAACAAATCACGCGAACGAACAACCCTAACCCCACCCCCGTCCACCCCTAAATGGTTGGTCATCACAGAGATTGCTCTTGTAGCCCTAACTTTTATACATAGCTTCCTTTCAGGTTTTCAAGAGTTAAGCAATTTAACTACACCATGACAATGATTCGATGTGAAGGAGTAATTATTTTCAATGTTTGTTAGCCATTATGATTCAAAGCCCTAGATTTGCTGATTACATTTCAGGGTTGATTTCAATGTTGTATTTAGGTCGAACTGATCGTTCGGACAGGGCTTGTGTCTTGAGGAGCGCTATGCCTGGATATGTACAGACTGATGGCGTTCATTGAGGTGGCGGGGCTTGAAGGGAACTACAGATCATTAGCAAAGTCCATAGGATATCCACACCTCCAATCCAGGTAGTGAATAAAATAGCTTTTAAGATTATGTACATGTATTACAGCTACAACTGGACACTGGCAATAAATGACACCTGCCTCACATTTTAGCTCTAAGTTGTTAGAGGGGATATATGTCCGGTCGTCTTCTGATAGGTAATATGTACAATATCTACAAGGCCAGTAATGAACATGTAGTGCAGTTATTTTAATGAAATAACCGTATTTATGTTTAAGTTAATTCCTATACTGGCAAGATGTAAGGGTCGGAGGACCGAATATAATACCTTATATGTACATTATACGTAATCGTATACGTTATAAGAACATTTTTGCAGCTTCTAAACATGGAGAATTCATGTATATAGCAATTTAAGCGTTCTTTTAACTAAAAAGAAATAGAAAGGAAGAAAAACTCTGATATCAAAGCAGTTCGCCTCAGACTTCTACCTACGAGTGTCCTCCTGCCAAGATACAGTATGGCTGTCCATCCGTATGCTACCCTCCGTAAACTCATCAAAACCCGTAACACCGACTATAGCACTCTTTGTAGGTTTGGGGATAGTCCTATAAAGGGGGATCAGGGTCAATATTCGGTTTCTAAACGGCAGAGGCACACGCAAGGGCTTGCACAGTTGAAATCTATTGGGAACAGCGTAACACGTACAGGCAAACCGTAATACGTACAGACCTAACCAAACACGAACAGGCACAGCCCAACACGGACAGGCACGGCGTAAAAAAGACAGGCACAGCCCAACATGGACAGGCACAGTAACAAAGACAGACACAGCCCATTCTGCGGAAGACTGTTAACCAAACGTTGGATCAATCTCTGATATTTCCTTTTCAGACAGAAAACACTGTCTCGTTATTTTATGCACATCAACCACGGCTTAAATTTTAAACCCTGTGCCCGTGAGTCTGACCGAAATAAACATAGCAGCCGTGATTATTTTCAGTATGCTCAAGCTCAGAAGATTATTGCATTGTTGCATAACCAGGTCTTAGTTTTTGAGATTCAGAGGGGGTCTGAAGTCTTAGTTTTTGATGTTCGGAGGGGATGTTAGGTCTTAGGTCTTGGATCTTAGGTCTTAGGTCTTAGTTTTTGAGACACCCATAGCGTCAATAGTCCACAGATTCTTCACAAAGGTCACCGTTGTTTACATATCTGAAAATTTCTTGAAATGTCCTGCGTACGTGATCAAGAACCATTTCCATCCTATCCTAAACAGGGGAAGAGACCATATGTATAACGCTAAGCTTATAGTTAATAACAGAACGAAAGAATGTGCTTTTAAGCATCCTTAAAACAGCATTGTTCAGCAAATTCATACTGAATAGATCACTGACCAATTGAAAAACGGCTCATGTCGCCATAAAACAACATTCTTATTAAAACGCTAGCTCGTGCTGGATAAATCACTGAACAATTTTGGAAAACGGCTCATATCGCCTCGCCTGAATGTTAGGGTAGTTGTCTTCATGTCTTCATCCTTAGTCTTACCTGTCTTGTCTCAAATCTTGCCGCCATCTTTAAAGACAAATGCATGACTGTGAGATGTTTGGTTACCAGTCTTTCGCAGAATGGGCTGTGGCTGTCCTTTTTTACACTGTGCCTGTCCGTGTCACGCCGTGTCTTTCCGTGTTGGACTGTCCGTAATAGAGTTCAGCTGTGCTGGCCCTTGCGCCTACCTCTGCTATTTAGAAACCGAATATTGACCCTGATTCCCCTTTATAATATAATAATCTTGCGAAACTCCGGGACTTTGAGGTTTCAGAATATGCCGAGACTCCGATCGAGACTCCGAGACTCATTTTAGCCGAGGTCTCAACAGTAGTTGATTTCATTTCTCGAGATTTATCATTCACCATGAACAATTCAGCAGATTACATTTTTTCCTTACATCAGTTAATTAACTCCTTAAATCAGTAACAATTGACGCGTCAGTAAGAGAACTCGTGTATCAATCCCTAGAGAACATTTCGAGACTCGTCACAACCCTTGCAAAATAACTCCTTTAGTCTCTTGCGAAAGTCTTTGCTGACTAGCGAATAAATTAAGGGGTTTGAGGAAGAGTTGATCTCGACAAACACTACAACTATGAACAGAAGATGTTTATAATATGCCTGAGTGGCGATGACTGGCCACCAAATAGAAGCGATTCGTAGCATACTCAACGGGAGCATTGTTATTGCAAACACCACAACAACTGGCGTTAAAATTTTCTTGATTCGCCTGTTTTGATGAAGACGTTGGAGTTCCATTTTGGAAAAACTAACAACTTTACCATCATCAGATGAAATAACGCTATGTTCGATTTTCATATCCTTGATGAATTTGCTGCTGCAGTTAATTTTACGTCCTATTCTTATATAAGTCAGAGCTATCAGGAAAAGTGGCAGAATGTAGGAGAAAAATGTCATTAAACCTGCATACAAGCGAGGCAAAATCCACGAGCGATCCCACGAAGGCCAAACTGTACCGCAAGAAGCTAATCCGTTGGACAGCTCATGATATTGAACAACAAAGTGCAGTGGTAAACAGAAAACAAAAAATGATATCACCCATACGAACCCGACAATAATCTTGGAATTTCTTAGCGAAGTTTTCCTATTATCGCGTTTTGGTTTAAGTGTCACTATTTTTAAATATCGATGTATAGCGATAATTGTAATACACCATACAGAGGAACCGTGAAATATTTCCGGTATTGGATACAGATAGAGGCAGCTAAACTCTCCAAGAGGCCAGTTCAAGGGCAACTTCTCTTTGATTAATCCTAGCGGGAATGTAAATAGCAGAAAGCCAAGATCTGCAATGGCTAAGTTTAGTAGATAGAAATCCGATGGTTTCTTCTTCTTGCCCATTTGACAAATAACAACAGTTACCAGAACATTACCAACAACTCCAAACAAAGCGATTAATACCTCCAAACCTAGTTTTAGCGATTCCACCAAGGGTATGTTCCTGGCAACGGAATCATTCGCCAAGGAGACGTTCGGATCGGCTCCACAATGCCTTACGGTGCAGTTCGCCATAGTTCATGTGACTTTTCCTTTTCCTGTCGTTTGAATACCTGGCTGTTGTGTAGTTTCTTCTTTTTTTTGTTTTCCTGTGATGTAGACGTCGCACGAATAAGTCTATCTGGCGATCTGTGCGGTACCCTTCCTTGACTTCCTTGGGTCCGAGTTCAGTGCTTGCAAGTACTGTAAGAGCTCGTCCCTGTAGATCTTTCCTGTAAAGAATTTTTTAATGTTTATTGTAATATAAAATGATAACACAGCTTAATTCCTTGATTTCAATATTCAATGATATTCAACATATTCAATTCCTTTACAGTGGCCTGACTGACGGAGCTCAACTGTTGAAAAGCGAGCGACCTATTCACATCGAGCGGCGTTCAAACAGAATCAAGCAATTTCTCAGGAGTCAAGTTCGCCTTGTCAAGGAGCTAGCCGTTAGTGACGAGCATCTTCGTTTATAAAACAACTTAGCTTCCTTTCACTGAATTAGTTATATCGCCCATGCTGGCTTTCAAGTTAAGGAAAATACAATCCAATCCCATTGCTCTTATCATTCTGAAAACGCCTTCCGTCTAAATATTACCTGCCAAAGGTTAATAGAATAACCAAAAGCCAAAGAGAAGCGAAGAATATGTCAATCTTAAAGACA